CTCATATTAAAACTTAAAGTATAAACTTAACAACCGAACTATAAGCATCTTCTACCTTCTTTGGAGGGGGCATGCTCATTTGTATTTTCCCTGATTAAGGTGACAGAGCCTCTGACTTATAGATTTGCTTTGTTTGGTATTCATGACTGATGTGTCCGGACTCTAATTCAATAGAGTAGATAAAGCATCCGTTCACTGGCAACCCCTGTCCAATTCTATCTGTACACATGATCTGGCCCAGTACATGTATATCTGCCTTGTTGCAACAGCATTCATTCATTTATGCATTTATAACATTTTGTCACATAATTGTGACATGCAAGTACATTTCTAAACCTAAAATGGATATAAAATTAGCAAACAGGTGATCTGAAAGTCCCACCATCATTATATGCCCAAATAGAGGTAAACAGATGCTAACTAACTTCTAGAAAATGGAATAATTGAACTCAGTGTGAAATAAAACAAAACGGGGGTATCAATCTCACACACACACACCCCTGTATGTTGTCACTCATGGAATCAACAGAATCTTATGATGTCTGAATTGTGCTGGGCTCCAAGTTAGTCACTGGGAAATGAAAGATCAGTAACACACAGTCCTTGTCAACAAGGAGACAGATGTGCAAATACACCGCGGGCAGTAAAACTGAGAAAGGTTCGTGAGGAAGGAATCAGTGGGAAATGAAACAAGGATTCTGCAATAGCAGAGCTATGAGCCCAGTACTATGTACGTAGTCTGTGGGGCCTGGGAGCGCCACCTACAAAAGAGAATAATAATTTTACCCTTTTAAATATATTGGAATTTTCCAAGCACAGACAGTGGCTAGGCATTCCAGGAAGAGGGCACTGCCCACACAAAGGTGTGACAGTGAAAAAGGGACTGTTATATCAGGGTGATGTGAGGATGTCAGGAAAGAAGTTCTTCTGAGAGTCAGCCTGCAAAATAACAATCCGATGTATGCTGAAATGCAGAGTCCCAGGCCAGACTCAGCAGACCTGGGGGTGGGGCGCCCAGGAATCAGAATTCTCCCTGAGGTCTTCCCGTTGGCTGAACTGTCGCAGTAGGGCAGTCGCCTTGGACTCGCCTTTGTGGTAGTGCCTCAGATTGTCACCTGTCAACATGTTTGCTGTCAGCTTTTGGTAATTGATACTTATCATCTTTAAATGATTTCCTTCTATTCCTATTTTTTCTTCATTTTCATCTGAAATGGTTAATGAATTACATAAAATGCTTTTTGAGTATCTCTTGATATAATCACTTAAAATTCCTCTTTAAAGGTATTGAGGCAATGCTATTTGATTTTCAACAGCCTATGCTGTGAAAAGGCGTATGCATTTGAGGAAAGGAGGCAATTTCTTACTTTGGTTAAGGACCTACTGTGTGCTAGGCATTTCCCAGACATGAACTCATTAAATCTTGTGAGATTTCTGGTTTTTTTAAATCTTCACTTTATATATAAGATAATCAAGATCCAGAAAAAGTTAAGTGGCTTGTCCAGGTCACAGATGCTGAACAGGAGCAAAAGTTACCTTAAAGCCACAGGAGCAGGAAGGCACAACAGGGTCTGGAGTGACCTAAAAATCACTGCCATTTTTTTTTTCTTTTTAAGAACAGATCATCTCCCTGTTGATTTTAGCTGTTATGTCTTTAAATTCCATCTTGTTCTTTTCATTCATTCTGCACGCACATTGACTAGGGGTTTACTGTGCCCCTTAAGGGCACCATGGAGAAACAACCACCGAGCAAGAAACACTCCTAAGACGACTTTGCTCCTGCTCATGGTAACAAAGTAACGCAGTTAGAGATTGGAGGAAACAGCCATTCTTGCAGGTGTGAGAATCAGGAAAGACAATGTAGGAGCCAGTGTTTGATCCGGATGGGGTGGGACTGGAATATGCTGAAATGGGGAGAAATAGGAAGGATATGGGAAAAGCCTAAGAGATCCAGGGTGTCTGCAGACAGGGACTAGCCTAGGCCGCCATTCCCTGCCTCTGTGGCACAAGGCCTTTGTCCAAGGCTGAGCGAAACAAGTGTTTTTTCTCTGTCAGCACAGTTGGTAAACATCTTGGTGCTTTTTCAAGAACTAATACATTAAAATGTCTCTGAAACAATTACTATGCCCATCACACACCGTGAGATAAATTAACCTGTGCACACATGCCAACTCTTAATATCGTTTTAAAAAGCAGGCACAGAAGTTGCTGGCCACTGCTTTACTACAGAAAGGCGAGAAGGAATTCTAGAGAAGCATTTCTGTACACTCAGAATGTGAGGAATAATAAGGTGTTATTTATAATAGACCTACTTTGTGTAGGCTGCTCTACTAATATGCTCTCTCACTGTCCCTCACAAAAATTCTGGGAAGTTACTGTTACTACTTTCCAGATAAAGAAACTGAGATTCCGAGTGGTTGCACGGTTGTTCAATGTCTGAAGAATCTGACCGAAGAGGCAGGCCTAGAATTGTGACTTAGATCTGACACCAAAACCCACATTATTCTCATTTCTTTCTTATGTGTACGGGATAGTGAAGGACCCAATTCTAAACTCTCCTCTGTCACTAGGTTCCAGATCCTTCCATCTGTAGCTCTGTTCACCCTGGGTTTGGTTACTTCTTCCTCTAACCCCTTGGCTGCCTCTGATCTGATCTGATGGGCCAGTGCTCTCAGCTCTGACCAGGTAGCGAATCCCCAAGACAGCAAAGACAGGACTGCCTCAAGGCCTCCTTGTCAGCCAGGAATAACTGTCACGTCTTGTCCCTGGCAGGACACAGATGCCCATGCACAGACCTGGGGCTGCACAGGCAGACAGACTGCCTTTGGGTCCTGATGCGCCCGCAGTTCTCCCACGCCCTCCACCTCTGTCTCTCTGCAGCATCTCCTAGGCTGCAATGGGCCTGTCCCCCTGGTTCTCAGAACTCTCCTCTGTCTGCTTTGTCAGTTCTTCCTCTGAATCTTTAACTGTGACCCTGAGTTTCACACTTTAGGATCTGTGACTCAGAACTCCAAGTTTGCACCAATTGAAAGACCCTTGTTTATCACTGCACCTTGAACTACAAGCCCTTGCCTATCTGTCTCCTGCACTCTCACGGTGCTCATCTTGGACTTCACCACAGTGCCCAGCACAGTGCCCAGTGTAAAGTGGATATTCAGAGACAGCGCTGTGGACACTGGCTAACAGGCTGAGGAGGAGAGGTGTGCAGAGGTTGCGATGGGCCACTGCATGGCTGCACCTGCTGTGGAACATTGATGCCACAAGAAACTGTGAAAGAGCAGTGAGCCCTCAGGGGCCACTCTGACTCCTTATGGTTTCTGAAAGGGAAGAGCAGGAAAACCAGCATTTCATGAGTGCCAACTTTGTGCCAGGCACTTTACAAGGTCCCTCTTCCCAGTGAGTTAGGGTTATTACCCCTATTATAGACTTAAGAGTACTGAAGCTCAAAGAGTTCAGAAAATTTGCTCAAATCTGCATGACTGGTGAGTGGCAGAGCTGTGACCTGAACCCAGAGCCATGTGACCCCTAACTCTCATTCTTTCCAGCACAGCAACAATGCCTCTGTGCCTTTGCAAATGCTCTTCCCTCTGCTCAGAATTCTTACTTCTTCAGTATTGGGTAAGTCCATCTCTAAAAACACCGAAAACCTGCCTCATTAAAAATCTTAGTCACCCAACCTCTACTCCTCTACTTTAGGACATTGGCACCTCTTGGCCAACATTTCAAGTATTTGATTTTATGTTAGTCTCTCAGATAGGCTGGAGCACAGTGAAGGTGGGGCTCAAAGTCCTGGTCATCTCTCCATCCACAGTGTCTGGAATGTAATGTACACATCCAATGAGTGTTTATCAAATGAGTAAATGAACAAATGAAGCAAGTTCTCTGGTGCTTTCAGCATCAGTGGCAGGGCTCCATGAGTTCCTGTATAAATGGGGGTGGTGATACCAGAATCTTACCTGCTCAGAGCCTATGGCTCTGGGACCCAAACACTGAGAAGAGGGGTGGGAGGGCCTTCTGCTGGTCTCATCCTCATCTGTAAGGCTTCAGCAGATGATGGCTAACAGACACGGACTGTCTCACAAGGCCAGGTTTGCCAAGGACGGAGGAAGACATGGAATGATGGACAGTACACTTCACCAGGAGCCAGGCATTCTCAGTTTCAGTCCCACTCCTTTGCTAACTGGATGTGCGATTTCAAAGACTTCCCTGGACTTCAATTTTCAAATATGGAAAATGCACAGAAGGGATATGGGACTTATTCAGGGGTTTTCTAACTTCTCATTACCAAGGATTTTATTTATGGAGTTTTCCCCCTTTACCCTCATGTTTTGAAAATGTCCAATTTTAATAATGAGAAAAATCATCATCTTTATTTGGAAAGTACAAAAAAAATGGACAGGCAATCAGCCATCTATAACTACCAACAAAACGCATGAATAGCATAAGAAAACTAATGCTAAACACCAGACTGAGATAATTCCAGCCTAAAGCAAAGACCTTGGGTGTTTCTGTCACTTGAGAAGCTGGTTCTAGATAAAGTCATGATTCCCTGTAGACGTCCTGAAACAGGGGTAACAGCCAATGTGTCTCTTTCTAACTTTCGAACCCCTAGAGCTACATGTTCCCCAAGTAGACACAAATAGACACTGAAGCTGCTGAGATTGGTGATTCTCTTTTTTGCAGGCAAGCCCTGCAGGAGGATTAGGTTGGCCCCTTGCTGCAAGTTCGGGATTTCTAATTAGAAAATCACACTGACAAAGGAGAAACAGCCCTTCACATCTTGAAACATAAGGGGAAAAATCCAAGATGTCAGAAACATAACAGACATGAGCAATGACAATGCATTTTCAAATGGAAAACACTATACAAAATAAAGATTGTGGGGCTAAAGATGACTTAGACAGAAGTATGAGAAACCAACAGACACTTGGTTGGTGCAGGAAATGCATGCTACAGGTTCCCTTACAGGGCACGAAGCAAAGTTACCCCAGGTCGATACTTACAAGTAATAGGAGTAGGAATAAGCATTTCTTCTATATATTGATGGGCAGTCAGATGAAGGAAATGTCCAAAAAGGGGGAAAAAGAAAAGACAAACAAACAAGAATTAGATTTATATGAAATCTTGATTCTTAGAAATGCACATAGTATTTCAGCATCCCTAAGCTCAAGGAGGTGTAAGTTTCTCTATTAATTGCCTTCACTGAGAATCAGATCATTTCAGTGGCAGAAGAAATGAGAGAGACCTCTCCTGTGATGGAGAAACTCACTACTCATGCAGAGGAATCCATGTCTCATGTTGGCTGTTTTCGTTGTTTGAAAGGTCTTTCCTATGGTCAACTAAAACTAACTTCCTTGTAATTATGACTTTGGTCTTGGGTCAGATTTCCATGGCCTTCTAGAACTCTACTACCTCTCTTCCACATGACAGTGCTCCTGTGATCTAAGGAAAACCACAGTGACTTCTGCCTTCTCTGTTTCAGGTCTAATCTCTTCATAATCTATTTAGTAAGGTCATTTCTAAAAGCAAGGAAATCATGGGGTCAGCACCCAAGATGGCTCCCCAATCAATGAGCCACACTCGCCAGTACTCACGCCCATGGGTAGTGTCCTCTCACACTGAATCAGGGCTGGCCCTACATGACCCATAGAATGTGGTAGGAGTTATATTCTGAGACCTTCCAGGGTAGGTCCAAAATGAAGTCTTACAGTTCTGTCTGGGTCTTTGGAACTCTCACTTGGAAGCCAAAGTCTCCAGGTAAGAAATCCGGGTAATCTAAGGTTGCCATGCTGGAGACCATGTGGGGTGAACACATGCAGAGGCCCAAAGACTGCATGAAGGGAGAGAGACATCTGGCCAGCCGCCAGATCTTCCAGTTCAGCCAACTAGATGATGCCAACTGAGACCCTTGATGATGTCATGGAACAGAAACAAGCCATTCTCTTCAAGTCCTGAGCAAAGTGCACGTTCTTGAGAAAAATAAGCCACTGAATTTCATGACTTATTTTTAAGCCACTACCTTGTGGGGAGTAGTTTATTACATATCATTAGATAACCAGGACGAATTCAAACATCATGATGAAATAGCACTACACAAAGAGAGAGGATTTCCAGTCTTCAGTCTGAATAGACTACAACTTGAATAAACTCTCTTTACTTCCTTATCTGATCCATTGATGAGTTGACTAGATCACTATTTTTCAAACTGTGTTCCAGGGAGCCCAGGGGTTCTGCAGGGAAGACACATTGTAAAGGGGGATGGTGGTACTGAACAGGTAGGACTGCTGGTCTCCCACTATCTATACCAAAGCCAGAGCTTCTCCATTTTTACTTATTTTCAAAAGAAAGCTTGAAAAATCACTGCCTTCAATCTCTGATGTCCCTTCCAGCCGTTGGTTTCTGAACAATAAAAATTCAAGTAACTACCATATCCCTTTGTTATAATTTTTGTATTTTGTAGGAAAATAAGTAGGAGTGCTTTTAACTTACAGACTTAGCTATCCTGACAATAGCTGATATATTTTTGGATTTAGAAAAATTGCTGGATTATTCAAGTCTTCAAATAGCCATTGAGTAGGCAAGAACAGTTTCCTTCCTTCCTTCTTTCTTGAGGTTAATTGCGACCATTATTCTGTTTTCTTGGCACAGGAAGATGCAGATTTATATTTATAGGGTGGGAACAGGTCCTCAGAGTCCCAAATTTTCCCCTCTTAAGCGGGAACTGGCCAAAGCCTCCAGGGCAGGGCCACCTCTGGACTTTCTGCCCTTTATCAGAAGAGCCCAGGTCTAGAGCTCCAGAAGGAAAGTGACTCTCTGAGCCAAGAAGCCATGGCAGCAGAAGGGAAGCCCTGGGCCTCCTCGGGAGGCTGAGCTGGGAGACTGAGCCTCAGGGCAGCACAATCTGGTCACTCATGAAACTGTTCAGTATCCTGGGCCAAGTGAGCAGTGGCCCTAGATGATGCAAGGGGTGACGGGTGGACACTGGGAGAGCCCTTGCAAGCCGTTCAGTCCCCTTCACCAACCATATAGGCTGGCACTGTGAGGACACCATTCCACTCCTTCACTGCTGGCTCTGTGGTCCACTGCCTGGAGATGCAATTCCTCGGGGGCAGAAAGTGCAGGATCCATTTGACAAAGCCTTCGACACCTATGCTCTCCATATAGTCAAGAACACTGGGCTGAGAATTGAGAGGCCAGCATTCTAACCCACATTTTCCACTTGCTCTCTGTGGCATCTAAGGCAAGTCAGTTCCTCCCCATGGACCTCTGTCTTCCAATCCATGTACCAAGGTGGATGGCATGGGCGACTGCCAGCTTAAGCAGCACTGATGAGTGGAAATATGCTGTCTTAGCATCCCAGCACTTGGGAACTGCACGGCCTTGAGCAAGTCACTAAATATCTCTGAGTCTCATTTTATCCATCTCAAGGTTAGAGGCAATAATTACTGGCTCAGAGAGTCACTGTGGACATTAACATTAGAGTATATTAATCTATATTATATTCAAGTTATATATGATACATAATACATATAGAATTGTAAGCAAATCATATTAATCTCAATTAATGTTAGAATATATGATTGAAACAGCTGAAATATAACAGGGCTCCATAAAGGAGAGTGTATGTCCCTACCTCATCCACAGATAGAAGGTTTGCAGCTTCTTACTCTGGTGAGCAGGAACAAAGTACTCGCTGCTTTAGGAATATTTTAGAAGGTAGTAAAATAAGAACGAATACTTAGGTAGCCCTTATCATGTACAAGGCATTGCTCTCAGCTCCTCTGGTACACTGACTCATGTATTCCCTACAAGCACCCTGACACAGAGATGCTATTACAATCTCCACTTTGCAGATGAAGAAACTGAGGTTAAGTGACTTGCCTAAGATCACACAACTAGTAACTGGATTGGACAGCAACATGGCTCCAAAACTCCAGTTCTTGACCACTGGCCTGTGCTTCCCTTGAGGAAAGGAGAAAACTGGCGTGTGATGAGCAGTCCAGTGGGCCAAGCGTCAAGATGGCCCAGGCCCTCTCATTCTCAATGCTCTCCCCAGCTGCAAGGAGCAGGCAGTATTCTTCTCATTTTTAGTTGTGAAATTTAAGGCTCTGAGAGGTCACTCCTTACTAGTTCCACTGTTTTATATATTTTGGGACCATTTTCAAGGCCTCCATCAGGAGCCAGGATCTCCTCCCTGGCAGCAGCCCTCCACTGCACTCTTGGGCCCCAGGCTCCACTTAACATTCTGGACCCTCTGGTTTCCTGCTCTCACCCTTTGGGATCTCCTGCTGCCTGAGCCACCTCCCGATGACAGCATGCTTCCTTAACCTTCAAACCATCTCTTCCAAGTGGCTTTTCTGAGTTACCCTCCAGGGCACTGAAGCCAGTGCTACCCTTGATCCAGCTGCAGGGCAACACCATGGGTAGTATCTGGTCACATGGAACTGAAGAAAGAATGATGACAGTTGACAAGCTTCTATTAATTGAGTATCTTTTCTCAATTAAATTGCAAATTCTTCCAGGGCAAGGATTACAGTTCTTTATTCTGTGACCAAAACACAGTTTACATGAGTGTATTCTCCAAGGCCTGAGGAAGATTTACTGAAGTTCTAAGTTTACAAGGATACAGTGATATTGTAAGTAACAGACTGCCTGGGACCAAAAATCCTGAGCAGGAAGGCAGCCATGCTTTGAGAAAAAAAACCCCAAACTTAATAAATCACATACTGCAGAATCTTCTTTTCAGCTGGCTGACAAGATTGACTCGAGGCACTCCTTGCCTTTCTTTTATACTATTTAAACAGGACTAAGTTATCTATTTAACCATCCAACCATCTACTCACCTGTCTAGCTTATAAACCCACCCATCTACCCTTCTATCCACCCATGCATCCATTCCTCTATGCATTGATTCTTCCCTTCCTGCCTCCCTCCATCCAACAATCCATCCATCCACCCATTCACCCACTCAACAATCTATCCATCCACCTTTCCATCTAGCCCATAAACCCACACATTCATCTATTCATCCATCTCCTCATTTACCCATTTATCCAACAACCCATCCATCATCCACTCACCCATCTTTCCATCATTAATTCAGCAAAAACTTCTCATGTGCCTACTATGTGCCTGTGTCTGCCAAGTGCCGGAGATAGAGACATGAGATTTTGATCCACCCCATATGTGTGATGGGAAAGCCAGACAAGAAACTTATAAAATAGATGATGACAATAGCTGCCACTTATATAATAGGTCACACATATGCTCGCACTGTTCTTAGCATATTAGGTGATTAATTTATAACCCTCACTGTGAGGTCTTATTATCTTTGTTCTACAGATGAAGAAAGTGAAGCTCAGAGATGTTCAGTAGCTTGCCCAAGCACACCCAGTTGGTAAGTGGCCTGACGGGGATTAGAATCCAGGCTGTCTGACTTCAGGGCCTGCATCAATAACCACTCTACTTCATTGCCTTTTGGAGTGATAGATGGTGGGACACAGTAGCACAGGGTGCTGTGAGAACATTCTGAGGCTGATGGTGGAGGGGGAGCAGGGGGAAGGGGGCCTAGCATCCTTGATACCTGGGTTGTAAAGTCAGGGCACATCCAGAGCGAGCAGGAGAAAGGGTATTTTCAGGTGGATGGCACTGCGGTTATGGAACACGGGTGGGTTGGCAAGGTGAGAATGTCAGACGTTGGCAGGGCCCAGTTGCCAAAGAGCTTAAGGAGTTTGGTCTCAATACCACAGGTCCTGGGGACAACCCAAAGAGCCAGGTGGCCAAGTATGTTTCTAGATGGATGATTCTGGCAAATGCAGAGTATGAGAAGAAAGTTAGAGAAGAGAGAAGTAGGGGTAGTGAAATCTACTGCAAAGGTCAAAGCAAGAGACGTCGGAGGCCTATTTCGCAGTAGCCACAGAGAAGGAGAAGAGGTAAATGTGAAAGTGGTTAAGACACAAAATCAGCAGGTGATTACATGTGAGCATATTCACGAGGACTTCCAAGGTCTAGCTTGAGTGGCTACGATGTGAGTGTGAATAGAAGGATTCTTTCAGGGTGTGGATTAGGCAGCCGTTTACAGTGGCTGAACAAAGCAAATGCACATTCCCGTTGGGCTGCTTCGCCACCTCAATGAAGCACTCAAAATTATGTCACAAATGCAGCATCTCAGCAAGTCCTGTGTGATATCTCAGCCAGGTGAACCTGTGCTTAAGTGTGTGGACTCTGTTATTGGATGCGCCAAGTTGAGACCCAGTTCTGCCACTTATTAGCTATGTGATTTGGGGCAAGGTCCTTAAACTGTGCATGTTTCAGTTCTGGGATCTGTGGCACACTGTCATCTAACAGTGGCAGCAACTCTTGGCTCACTCAGTAGTTAGCTTTTCCTATGGACCCACTACTTTTTTCCTGGACTGGGACATAGGGACATAGCGTATTCCCTGAAGGCTCAGACATAGTACATTTTTCACACACTCTTTGAACCTTACCACCCCCCACCACAGGACCTTTGATGCTCAATGTTGGTATTTGGGTCTGTGTTCTGAGTGAAGTTTTTCCCCCCAAGAGATGGAGTGTTAACCCTGCATCCTATCTATTCTTTCACTGGGCTTCCCCATTCAACAAGTTTTTAGGGAGTCTCCAGTACTTGCAAGGCAAATTGTGATAAGGATGAATCAGAATAGGCAGCTGATGGACCAATGGAGAAGATAAGATGTGAATACAAATGACAAATACAGACAACATGACGTGGATCCTCATAGACAGGGTGCAGATAGTGAAGAGATTGTATCTAGACTGGCTCAGGAAGGTTTCCTGGAGAAAGTGGCATTTGAATTAAGCCCTAAACATGGGGAGTATCCGGTCATATGGAATTGAGGGACAGACACTGAATGAAGAGGAAACATCATGAGCAACAGTACAGGAGAGGAAGACATTAGGAAATCTGCCAGAATCACTGTGAGCAGGGGGTCCGCACAGCCTGACAGGCTCTCCTGATGAGTTAAACATATGCTTCTTCCCTCATTCCCACCTCATGAGCCACTGTCTCAGGGGAGGAGAAGCCACTGATTTTACACAGCCAGTCTGAAAATCAATGCTTTTCATTTTTATAAAAGTCACTTGGGCTACAGGGTAGAGGATGCATTTGAAGGTTGAGGCCAGTCAGAGAGGCCAGGAGGAGCCTCATACAATGGGCAACAGGGAAGAGGCGGTGGAGAGGAGAGGATGTGACCAAGAGAACACAAAGATGAAGGCTCAGAAGTATTGGGGTGATGGGGTCCCCTGGATTGGGAGCAGGTTGGTGGGTAGGTGACGACTTGGGCTCTGACCATAATAACCACGCTGGTTATGGGCTCCCTCTGGGAAGGGCTCCAGGGTGCCTTCTCATGATGCTCATGTAGTGCTCTGAGTCTCCATGCAGCCCTGTCTCTGCAGGGTTCTCCATTCAGAGAAGCTCAGTCCAAAGAGCCATGAGATGTTGGAGGCCTGTCTCGCAGTGGCCACAGCAAAGGAGAAGAGGTAAATGTGCAAGGTGGTTAAGACACTAAATCAGCAGGTGATTACATGGAGAGCATATTCACGAGGACTTCCAAGGTCTAGCTTGAGTGGCTACCCATGTGAGTGTGGATAGAAGGATTCTTTCAGGGTGTGGATTAGGCAGCCGTTTACAGTGGCTGAACAAAGCAAATGCACATTCCCGTTGGGCTGCTTCGCCACCTCAATGAAGCACTCAAAATTATGTCACAAATGCAGCATTTCAGCAAGTCCTGTGTGATAGAAGTCCTCTACAAGAGGAATTCTAAACTTGAACTTGCATCTTTACAAACTGTCAGGGAATCCTGTTAGAAACACCCAGCAACATTTTGTATGTCCTTCTGCCTCCTTTCATTTCTCAAGATCCCTTCCACCCATTAAAAACATCCCCCCGAGTATGCTGACTTTTCTTTCTCTCCTCTCCTCTCTTTCTTCCCCAGTCTTCTGAATGTAATGGACTTGGCTTCGTTCATTAAGCCCTTCCCTTGGTCCTCTGTGTGTCTAGCCTGTTCTCTGCCAGCTTCATAGTCTAGCGTCACGAAAGGAAAACACCTGCCAGCAAGAGGGGGAGAGATGAGGAAGCCCTCAGGCCAGGGCTGGGAGAAGCTGGGGGCAGCTTATGTGTACTGGGAACGTTTGGCCATGACTTTAGGGAAGACTTTGAGCCAGGCGACTCCATCAAGAGCAGAGAAAACAGGGAGCCCCGATGCTCATGTCCGTGAGGTTAGGGGCGAGACCCAACTCAAGCCGGCAGAGCAGGAGGAGCGGGTATTTGACTTCTGAGAGGTCCAGGATTCAGGAACTAATGCAGGGTTGCGACGGGACACTGAAGAACTGTTGACACCAGGATTCTGAGTTGTGATGACCTGCCTTTATTTGAGGGTTTCTTTTCCTTTAATACCTCTTCCTTTTAGGTAGCTGGACATTATTACGGCCAGCAGTCAGTTAGTTAGTGACAGACTCAATTGACCAAAGACGTTCTCCCCATATTTACACATAGGGTTGGGGTCAGATGAAGCAGGGTTGCTTCCAAGCCCTTCACTGTTTTTTGGGGGCATCTCTAGGCATCAGAAGACATTGTAGGTTAGTGGAAAGCATGTGAGTCTATGTTTAATTTCTCTTTTTTTCTCCTTTTCCCTCTCTTCTGTTCTGTCTTCCTCTTTCCTTCCCTTATACCCATCTGTAAATTATTACTATCAACTAGGTCAGCAAAATGTCTTGTCTTATATTCTCCAAAAGAAACTATATGCCAACCCTGATGAGCACTGTCCCTCCCCAGCCCACTGCCATGACATCTGAGTTTTGTCTCTTGGGAGAAATGGTGTTCATGTGACAGCTGTTGGTTGGGTCTGATAGATGGTTTTGGTAGTGGTGAGAGATGATGAAGATAAGCAGAAGAGGTTAAAACCACACAAAGGACTCACTTTATACTTGCTCTCATCCTGGAAGCTGAAAGCCCTTTCCTCCCTCCCAAAAAGTCACACATTTCAGAAATAGCTGTTGAGAAGGAAGTGAAATTTCTTCACAAGCTCACAGATGACGGTGACGTGGGTTAAGCCAGGCTTTAGAAAGAGCAAAATTGGAAGAGCCTATCTGACTTACAAATCAGCAGCAAAGGATGAGAACATTTCAGGTTTATGAAAGAGGAATGCAATTCTATTAAATTGGTTACTTCTTCCAGGTAGACAATCCCCAACTCACCTCTGCCTCCGTTACGTCTGCAACTCTAAGGAACATGTCAACGATCTTTTGTGTGCAATGTATTTACTGCCCCCAGAAAAATCAAACTGCATGTTCTACCTCATCTACTAGTAGCTGCCTTGTCACTGAGACACACAATAGGGCCGTGTTTTATGGGTGGTGGGGATGATATGACAACGCGCTGCAGTCCTTAACCCTTTGCGGGCTCTAGATCCCTGATATTAACATAACGCCTTCCCTTCCTCCTGGCTACTCCAGCCAGAAAATCGGTAGCTACATGAGAATCCTGGCTCTTCAATCATTATGTTGGGAACCTGAGGAAAGAAGTGATCCTGTTGGACAAAAGATGCCAAGAAAAGATGTCCTGACCAGAGGGAGGGCTGGCTGACTCAGAACAGAGGCAGGAAAGAGACAGGGAGATTCTGGTGCTGAAATGACTGCACAGAAACCCAATGACATACAGTAGAAATCCAATATCTCTGACTCACCAATGGCTGAAAATGGGGTCTTTGTTTTTGGTTTGGTGTTATTTTGTTTTTTAAACTTCCTGCATTTATAACCCTGCAACTCCTTAGGTAGGTAGAAGCTGGAAGTGGTCTTTAGGGGATTCTGTCCCTTTATTTTGGTGGGGGAAAAATTTCGTGAGTACTTTTTGTTTTACAGATGGAAATAAGCCCCTTGGTCCGTGTTACTGGGCTTGCCCTGAACTCAATGAGCAATCAAACCCAGAGGTCCAGGCTAAGGTGTTAAGCAGTTTGTTTAACGATGTAAAGTCTCTTTAATTTGGGGGCAGGGCACATTGCAGCACATATATAATGTAGATAAATGTTCTACATTGTAATGTGGACACTGGCAGAGTGGGGGAGTGGGAGGGTAAGAGTCCAAGGTTGGGACCGTACCATTGAAACTGAGAATACATGGAGGTGAGTGGTAGGCATGGAAACACGGTGCCAATCTAGGGGAGGAGGGTAAGTGGGTTGTGGGACACCCTGTTTAGAGGAATAAGTGTGCACCCTGGGGACAGTGATGCTGATGTTCACCAGTTTTCCCTGATGAATATTTCTTTCCTTCTCTGAAATTCCCTTGTCTTATCCTCAAGCCTTGTGAATGTCTGATAAACAGATGTCTCTGTAGTGATGTGCACCCCGGCTGTCATGAGCAAGGTAGTCTGGAGGAAATGCATGCTACATGAGATAACTGGCAGTTGACCAGAGGTGCCCACTCTGTTGAGAGTTGACAAATAGCAAGAATTCAGCTGGGAAGGTTTTTTGGGACATGGAAAAGGAAGGAGCCTTCCTTTGGGACTATGGCACGATTGGAGGCTTTATCCCTGCTACGCAAAAGGCAGCTTGGGAAGCTGCCGCCTGACCGAAGGGAAACTGGGGATGAATGAAGGTGAGAAGGTGAAGCATTACTTCCCTGCATCAGTATTTCTGGGCTTCTCTGTGTTCCAGGGTCTCCCCAATAGTCTTGATGACACAACCAATCTCAGTAGACTTGCTAACTCTGAGGAGGCTCAGGATACGTGGAGCCCCACGGCACACCAGGGTGGCCCGACCGAAGGGACTACTGGCCCCATAAGAAACTGGCTGTCCACCAAGCAGGAAGGACATGCCCTTCAGACACCAACACCATGAGCCACAGTCAGCCCGAGTTTTTCAGGACTCAACAGTCAGATCATAGGGTCGCTGCTCAGAAGCACTGACAGAGTGAGGACCTGGCCACACAGCAGTGCTGGGGCCATGTGGGGTCGGCAGCATCTGCAGGGCAGCAACAGAGACTCACCTCCTTTTGATGGTCAGCATCACGCCCAGGAGAATGATGATGAACATCAGGAGGCCGGCGATCACACCGGCCATCTTCACGGTGCTGTCCACCTGCTTCTCTGGCTCCACGGTGTTAGAATTCTGAGTGGAGGCACCTTGGAGCGGAAAGGACATGGTGATGTTGAAAAGGCTCACACACTTGATGGTAACTATAATGACAACAGTTCCCACTTACGGAGCGCTATGTGCCAGACACTGTGTTAAAGGGTGTTATATACATTGTCCCATGTAATCCTTTCGAGGATTAAACCATCATGAGGTTAGGATTATAATATCCATTTTTGCATATGAAGAAACTGAGGTGTAGAGAAATTGACTTGCCCCAGGTTGCACAACTGCTGTGCTGGGGCATCTTTATCCTTGGTGGGATCCAGTGAAGGATTTTGTCCCTCATGCTGCTTTGTCCCCAGGATCAGACCATGGGAAGAGTTTGATTCTTGAGTTCACAGTTATTCCCAATCCTACTTTTTTCTTTTTTCAGGTAAATAACGGCAACGACAGCTATGTTAAAGTAATGCAATTAGAATCACTGGGTTTTTAAATATAATAATAATATTTTTGTTTTTGTGCCTGATATGAAACCAATGGTGGAAGCATGTATTTAGTGTACTAGAGGGAACTGTCCTGGGTTCAGAAAACACTTATATCTGGCCAACTCCATTTTGGGAATTTAATGCTGATGCTATGTGCCCTGCCACGCACTAATGTGCTGACACAATTCCAGGTAGAAGACGACTGGGAATGCAGCAGGTACTAATCCTCAGCCCCATGTGGGGCCATTGCATGGATCCAGCTGGGTCAATCCTTGCAGATGTTCCAAAAAATAGACACCAATGTTCCCATTTTACAGGTGAGAAAACCAAGGGAACTTGCTCAAAGTCACATGGCCGGGTTTCCCATGGGTTTTCTGACTGTCTAGGCCTCAATAGTTAGGAACCTTGAATTCAACTTTCAAGTCCGCTAGTTCTCAATGTTCCTCCCACAAAAAAACCAATTTGCTAACAACCTAGCAAAAGCAAGTCATGGAAGCCAGCCTCTTTGTGCAAAGTACCAGGGATCAGAGGCAGCTTCCCATCCAGACACCAGTGTGGACACTTCTGGGGAGCAGTCCAGGGGTTACCAGCTCCCTACGTGAATTTCTACCTACTGCTCATGTTCCTAATGGTGCCTTGTCTGCGTGATGCAGCCTGAATCTAACTAAGCCTTGAGCTGCCCCCTCCCCACTTTTCTGCCCTATCAGCAGCAGCTCATCCTTCCTCAGTGACTGTTCCCTCTCCAGTTGCCTGTGCCCTTGGGAGTGCTCCTCCGGCTTCCCTAAGTTTTAACTCTCTGCAACACTTTGCACACCCCTCAATGCACCAAGATGATTAGTTATTTGTTCCTCCATCTGTCTCCACCAGAGGTCTGTGAGCTCCCCAGGGGTGACATTGTGCCTCCTTTATCTTTGTTTCCTCGTGTTAGCACAGAGCCTGGCTTGTAATAGGTGCTCCCTTAATGTTTGCAGTTGTTCGATGTTTAGCTGAAGGGGTGTCATCTCTGCCCACACACATTTGTTCTCATGGAACCAAATTGCATTTCTCCTTTTCTAGCCATGTGTTCACAGAACTCATCTGAGCTGAAGGGATGCTAATGCCCAGAAGCTATGATTCTGATTCCCCAAACTCACTGATGTTTAAGAACAGCCCTCCAGCGCAATGATGCATCCCCTCTGCTTGCTTAAGAGCATCAAGTGTTATCTACATCAGAGCACTTTCCCTAAACTCTCTTATAATGCAGACAAGCTGATTTACTCAGCCAAGTCTCCCTACTGAAAATGGCAAGTCTTCAAGAACAGGGAGAGTGCCCCATTCATCACTCTAATGCCAGCGTCACACACAGGCCACCCTCCTCGTAATTGCTGGTTAACAGATGATTATTAAATGACATAAAGGTTGCTACTGAGTACCCACATGCTGTGTACCAAATTATGCTGCCTGTGGGATCAGATCTTCCTCCTGGAAGGATGGAAAGGTGAGGGATTATATTCAGTTCCCCTCACCAGCTGAAGGCAAGACCAGCACATCATATTCTGGGGCCATCTGAGCAGTCTCTGCCTAGCTACCGCCCAGAGAATTCCTGGGGGAGACAGCCAACCACCTCTGTGGCAGGGCTGGTCTTACATTCCAGAATGAGGTCTGGTTCCAAGCAGCCCCCACATGGCCCCCATTGCCCAGCTTGGAGACATGGTTTTCAAGAAATGGCTGGTCCACTGCATACCAAGCACAGAGGAAGCCGGACGCCTCAGATCACAATTTCCTCAATCGTGTCTGAGTCCTCTTAGATTTGCAGGAGGTGCTGGCTTAGGAGCATATACTCTCTGGTGTAGCTAAACTTTACTTAGCACCTGCGATGAGACTCTATGCCAGAGACTGGGGAGCCAAGGCAGAGGAACCCTGGGAAGGACCCTATTGGCACTGGAACACTGTTATTAGCTTGGTCTAATGAGGTTCACACCGCATTCCTTCACTACAGAGCCACAAGCCCCCCACTACATCTGAGGCCTTGGGGGACACAAGCACAACAGGCCCAGTTCCTGCCCTCGGAGCCCATGGTTAGTGGTGGGTAGGGCTTCGGTTCAGAGGAGTAATGTGCCAAGAATCAGTAATGGTAGGCTTTCAGCTCTGTGAAGGATTTGAACTGAGAGGTACATGGCCTTGGAAAGTACCAAATAGGGGGCAGATGAAGTACTTCTGGGAGGAAGTGGCCATGGGGTGAGCTCCAAGCGAGGACAGGCTGCACTTTGGCAAAGAGCGCATGAAAGGAAAGGAGCATACGGGAGCAGCTGTGTGACGGGGCAGGGGGCCTGGGGCATTCATCTAAGAAAGGTAGTGAGGCAGCTGAGAAAGCAAGGACAGCGTGAGAGAAGCTGGACAGGGCCCCAGGGCACAGGTCAAACCTGAGAGTTTTTCATCTTTCCCCCAAGAAACATAGGGAGCCACTTAAGTGTCATTCATGGAGCCTTGATATGGTCAGATCAGTACTTCCAACAGATCGTTCCAGCTTCGGCGAGGGGCCAAAGCAGATGGGGAGACAAATTTGGAAATCACTGCAGGCCTCCAGGTGAGAGATGACAGTTGCCTGGGCTCAGGTGATAGCGGTGCAGATAGAAAGATATAATGAAAGAGAAAAGTACCTGAAATAGATAGAAGTAAAACCCAATGAAGGATTGGGTCCAGGGAATAAGGGGGAGAGAACTGTCAAGGATGACCACGAGTCTTTGGTTTTTATGACAAGGTGGATGACGGGGCTGTTTATGGGATCAAGCAACAGCGGGAAAACTATAGCTTTAAAGGGAAAACGTGTTTGTTTGGGGCAATTTGAGCTTGAGAGATACTCTAGGAAAGCAGACAGTTAGACATGCTGGTTTGGAGCTCTGAAGAGAGTTGAGCTTCAAATAAACATGTGAGTCATATGTGCATGGATGGTATTTGAACCACGGGGCTTGATGAACTCACTGAAGGAGAGAGGAAAGGGTAAGAGGGGAAGCAGGCTTAGAGAGTGACTTGGGGGGCTGCAGTATCTAGCGAGCAGGTAGAGGAAGGTACACTGCATAGGAGATAGAGAGGGAGTGGCCAGATAGGAAGGGAAAAAGCCCAGGAGAGTATAATATCCAAGAGCCAAGAGAAGAGAGTGTTTCAAGAAGGCAAGAATAGTCAACTGTGTCAAATGCTGTTCCTAGGATAGAATCAAGTTCCATACCCTAAGGAAAGAGATGTTGGATGGGTTTTAGATAAACGTTCCCAAATAAATTCCAAGACGTTCTTAAATAGAAGCACCTTCAGCAATGACCATGAACTGAGAATGGAACATACTGGATCTCGGGGGAGACATCTGAAAGGCCAGCCCAGCAGTTTAGACAGATTCAATGAGTTTAGCCAACAGGCTTCAGAGCTGTAATCACAAACAGTGACATCTTTAGAAGGAGCCATGCTTGGCTGGGCCAACCAAATTCCAGATACAGGAATGCGAACACGCCCTGGGATGTGGCAAATCCAGCTTCCACTTCAGCACCCTTTAAAGGGCATTTGATGAAGCCGCTGGGGAATTGGGCCCTTGTTCATAAACGGTATATGCCAACAGTGTTCAAAGGCGATACTGGTATAGAGGAAATGGCTCAGGGACCAAAGGCCAGGCAGCATTCACCTGTGGCTCCTACATCTGAGGGGAAGAAAAGAGGGATAGAGACTGAGGGTGGACTAGTCTTGCTCCTGCTTCAGAATCGGAGCATGTCCATGAGGCTCAGAGCAGGAGTAAGTGCTCAGGGGAGCTGATGAGAAAACCCTGCTGTGACTTACAGGGAAGCACAGAAGGGTCAGCGAGTGTTGGGCCCCTGCAGTGTGATCAGCTGTCCCAGGGAGGCACTGAGCTTCTCCTCAAGTAGAAGCTCAGGTACCATTACTTTTAAAAAATTTAGCTTAAATGTACTGATTCATTGCTGGGTGCCAAGCAATGTGCCAATAAGCACTTTACACATACATACTAAGGCATTTAATCTTCACAAAACGACTTAGAAGGTGCTGGTTTTATTTTCCTTTTTATACAGATGATACAAAAGTTCACAAAAGGGTGAAGTGACTTGTCCAAGGCCATCCAACTAGTGAGTATCAGAGCTGGGATTCTGTGTGCAGGGGTCACCCCCTTGTCACTCCGAAGAACCGTCCTTGGTGGAGGTGGAGTTAAGGAGCTGCTATACCGGAGCCACAGAGAAGGCTGTCTGTCTAACTCATTGGCCAGAACCCAAGGGAATTTCCGGAAGTAGAGCTAGTAGACCTTCAGTAACATGGTAGCTGCATCACTTTTGCCCTAAGCCCATGCTTTTCATGAGAGTCAAACTTAGTGTATGTCCTCAGTCACTAAAAAGCTCCGTTTTTCTGGGATCACTGAGCAGGATCTGGGAGTCTGATGACTGAGAGGAGGGGTTTGGCTGGACCCTCTTCATCTCTGCCCTCCATTGGGAGCCACCCTGAGTACAGTCCATGTACATCAGAATTGGCAGTGACGCACCAGGTGGTGAATTGACCCAACTGGAGGAGCTTCCAGGCTCTGCCTGATCCCC